TGCTGAGCCCATGAAAATCAAGTAAACATGAGTTTAAAAAAAAAAAAAAGAGAAAAAGAAAAAAAAATATCTGTGAAATGTAAATAAATATATTATAATTATTTCAAATTACTAAAATAAACAATGTAGGCTTTATCCTGGCAAATGTTTATTAACCACAGCTGGAATGTTTCCAGTTAAGCAGCATGCCACTGGGCGAACAGTAACCACATTTCTTGCAAACCTCCAGCAATTAATTAAGATGTAAACTGAATCAGGTTTTATGGCTCTTCAATTTGTATCAAAAAGCAGCAAGGATCGAGTTGCTGCTGAATTAAGTTAATGTTGCCTGGAGGTTTTTTTAAAGGTTGTGGGGTTCTTTCTGAATATAGGAAAAAGTCTTTTTTATTGTAAGGGTGGCCACATGCTGGCACAGGTTGCCCAGAGAGGTCGCAGAGTCTCCATCCTTATAGATATACAAACTCTGACTGGACATGGCCCCGAGCGATCTGCTTTAAGTGACCCTGCTTTGAGCAGAGGCCTGAACTAGGTGACCTGCAGAGGTCCCATCCTGTCTCAGCTTGATGACTTAGATACCAACATCTCCTATACAGACCTATAGGTAATTGTGTCTACTCATCTGAACTTCCTAAGACACCGGGGGAGGACTGTCGCACACATGCATGATTTCTTCCTGCCACATAAATTCTCTTTTCTAGCATACTTCTATTCTTAAGTGTTTTCTGACTTGTTTCTCAGTAAAAATATGTAATTAGTGGATAAAGATTATTTCTGTAATCAGAAAAACAACTGCAGATGACCTAAAATTATTTCCCTAAAACCACAAAACTAAGTATAGAACAACAGTGTAGGCAACTTTAAACACAGAACTCTACCTTCTCATCACTCACTGGGCAAAACAGGACCAGTGAACAGAAGACACAACTGAAATGTATTAGGAAAAGTTTTTGCATTTAGAGTGTCTGAATTAGATACAGAAAAAGAAGATGTATCTATAACCATTAAAATGAACACTGGAGACAGCTGTGATTTTTTTTTTTTTTTTTTTTTTTTTTAAGTATACCATGTTATTTCTGCTATGATGAGAATGTTTACTTTGCAGAGACAAAGTAGGGAATTGAAATGCTGAGTATTCTTGTGAATTGACTGTTGGGTAATCACGCAAAACACAAACCAACACCTAGAACTTCCTAACTCAAGTTAGTCTGCTACCAGACAAACAGCTACAGCTTCTACACCATGCACAAAATGAGAAGGCAATTAATTTTTAGGCACGCACGGGTTTGCTGCACCTGAAGAAATGCAGTTGCATTTTTTCCTCACGCAACCAGAAGTCATCCTGTAAGTTTACATATAAGCATGCAGTAAGCCATCAATGCCTTTAGCCTGCCAGTGGATTTGAGAAAGATTGAGAAACTACTTTAATGAAAAAAGCCCAGTAACAGCTGAATGCAACAGCTGCCTTTTGCTAAACAAGACCAGACTAAAAAAAGATTCCCCATTTCTTTAATACACAGTAGGTAGGAAAGCAAAGCGTGCCACAGAAGAGGAACTGTTGACATATCAACTGGCCAGTACGGGGGGCGGGGGGCAGGGGAGGAGTCAGATGATTTATAATTTTAGATGCTATGCAGTGTTTATACTTACAGTACAAACCTACCAGTTTATACCTACAAGTCCCTTCATAAGGCTTCAGGTCAATGAAGGCTTAACTATTTTAAGGGAGTAGGTGGATTTGTTTACTATAAGACAGACTTGTGTTGTCAGGAACTGGTCATATACAATAGACTCCATAAATTCTTGGAGACTGAAAACCCTAAAATCTTGAGTTGAACCTCAGAAGGTCTCATACCACCCTGGCTGGAACAGAGCCTTAAAAATCTTTCACAAAGCTCTTGAAACAAGTAGATGTTTTGACTGAATTTTGCCCGCCTACTC